AGCCCCTCTCCCAGCAGCCTTCCCTGATTCACTCCCTTCCACAGCCTCGCTGGGTTGGAAGCCCCAGCTTTATGTTCCCAGGGCTTCCTGTGCCTCCCCTGTGTCATAAAGTTCAGATAAGGTGTGATGGGCGTGCCAGGCGAAGACATGTCTCCCTGTGTCACTGCCATGTCTTCAGAGGCTGACACAGTGCTTGGTGCACAGTGGGTGCTGGGATGTGTGGAATTGCTAAGCGAATATTAGGATTGAATCTGTTCATCCTCTGTACAGCTGGGGGAGTAGTTCCCAGGCTCAACTGGGTGGGCCGGAGCACCCTGACAGCCATAACCACACGAGGATGACTGGGTGGAGGTTGAGGGGCAGGGCCAAGGGGTTCCCAACATAAGGTAGAAGTTTGGAAGAACAGAGATGGCCAAGCTTCCCATGCTGGGGCTGGCTTGCTTCTTAGCCTGTCTGTGCTCATCGCTGGAGCTGCAAAGACCAGAACAAGGACACCAGCCCTGTTTTGGGGATCCCAGCTGGCCTGTCCCATTTTGCATCTGAGCCTCATAAGTGGGTTGAAGGTAGCGGGGTGGGAGGGAGAGCCAGCACTGTGGGCCTGGATGCCAGCGGGGGCCCATTCCTTTCGGTTTCTGGACAGGCCATCTCCCCTTGCCATTTTCCTGGACTCTCCCTAGCTCGGATCTGTGATCATCATGTAGGATCACTGTTGTTGGGCTCAGGCTGGGTGCCTTCTGGGCATGTGAGCTGAGGAGGGTCTCAGGGAGGATGCTGGATGGGAGAAGGGTTTTGAAGTCAGCAGTAGCCATGTGGGATTTGGTGCGCAGCGCCCTGGAAAGCCATGGTGAGGCCAGAGAGGAAGTGTGTGGTGGGCCGGAGCACCTCACACGTTGTTTGAGGTGACTTGTATCCAAGGAGGAGAGGCTCTAAGTCTCCCCCACTTCACACATCAGCATTGTCCACAGTGATCCATGAAAGGACCATTCAGGCCTTATCATGGGTGTCCCTGGAAATGGCGGGGACTCCCTGGTCAAATAACTTTTGGAAGCATCTGATCAAACTAGTTTCTTTTCTTTCTCTCTTTTTTTGAGACAGGGTCTCACTCTGTCACGCATGCTGGAGTGCAGTGGCATGATCGTGGCTCACTGCAGCCTCCAACTCCTTGACTCAAGCAGTCCTCCCACCTCGGCCTCCCAAGTAGCTGGGACTACCGGAGTGTGCCACCATGCCTGGCTCATTTGTTTATTTTTTGTAGACATAGGGTCTCACTGTTTTGCCCAGGCAGGTCTCTAACTCCTGGGCTCAAGTGATCCTGCCGCATCAGTCTCCACGGTGCTGGGACTACGAACATGAGCCACCGTGCCTGTCCTTATATTGGTTTTCTGATCTCTTGATATACTGATGTGTGAAGTCAATCTCCAGACAGACTGCTTTTTTACAAACTAGGTTTCAACAGGGAGCACTTTATAGGACAAAACAATAAACAAAACCCAACCACTTGGTTGACAGTTTCTGGGTCAAATAGTCTGCATTTGATTCATATTTTAGTATTTTAGGTCTTTACGATGGGTCTCTAGAAATCTCCAGTGGTGATTTTCCTTAGACCTGTGAAGGAAAAGCTGGGCTGGGAATTGAAGCAGGTTGTAGAAGCCTTCCTACTTCCAGTCGCCTGTCTGTTCTCCAAACTTGAGTTGGAGGTAGCTGAATGCACGCGGCTTCCTCGCTGATATAGCCAGAATCAGCCTGGTGATGGGGAATGGTTACAAACAGCAATCCGTGCCTCTGGTGGTTGAGGGGGCAGTCCTGCCTGGAATGGGGCTTGTGTGTTGTCCATTTGCAGTAGCCGTGCCGGTTTGCAGTTGATCGACCTTTGGTCTGAGTAGAATTACAGTAGGAATAACTGATGCTCTGTGTTTTGGGTGGAGATGTGACTGAAGCTCATTTCTACATGTTAGTGCAGTGGCTGGGTCAGTCATGAACACCAGACCTGCCATCAGCAGGGGTCCCGATGGGCCAAGATGGGCCATGTTCATCTCTTGTTGCTGTATCCTCATGGTTCTGTTCCTCTAGAGAACCCTGACCATGCCTCCTTGGGTCCTAATCCTTGTGGCATGTGATATTTCATTCACTCCCTAACTGCCCGTTGAGCGCCTGTTAGGTGTGAGGCTCCGTGTTTGGCACTGTGAATACAGAGGTGAACGGAACAGATCAGGCCCCGCTTTATAGAACTTACATCCTAGGGGTAGATGCTGTCACCACACAAATAAACCCCTCTGGGAGCGCCAGGGCTCCACAGTGCCTGGTCACCAAGTGCAAACACACCCATCTCTTTCGATCAGATGCTTTCCCCTGGAGTGTCTGCCCTCAGCTTCCTGTTCTTCACTCTTCTGGTGGCGCCCTGCACAGAATGAGGGCTCAGTAAATATTTGTGAGTGCATAGCAGCTGGTGTTGTGTAGATGAATAAGAGAGAGGGCTGAGTTCAAACACTCATTGCAGGGTGTTTATGTGGCGTGCGCTGGGTGATAGGCCGGGGACAGTTGTTTTGGCTGCCGTGGCCATGGTCTCTGCACGCCCCGTGGCAGGATATAAGGCCTGCTCGGGAGGGAGTGCAGGAGGGCGGGCACACCTCTCACACGGGGAGCTCCCTGAAGGAGACGGTGTCCGTGCAGGAATAAGCACTGGCCACAGAAAAGAAGGTGAACCACGGGCTCTTGGTAGCGGGACTAAACCAAGCAGAAGTCCAGGAGTGCACCCTAAGTATGGGACGTGCAGAGACAGCAGGCTTTCCAGTGCCACCGTGGTGGGAGGTGGAGGGTGAGTAGCCGGGTGTGGCCTGACTCAAGGCACTCAGCCTCTAGTCTGTGGGAGATATTGCAGTTTTAAGTGTACATTTCATGGCTGTGCTTCTGGGTGCTCTTTGGAGGCCAGATCTAGGGAGTGAGAGTAGAGGCAGAGAAGGAGAGGAGGGCTGAATGGTGGCAAGGGTGGGTACAGGAACAGGAGGTGGGTGGCTCCTTTCAGAGCTTGACCCCCAGGTACCCTTCCATAGCCTCCCTCTGCCTCCCTCTCGTTGGCTCTGGTCCAAGGCCCCTCAGTGACATGCAATTGCTGGCACAATTGCTGGCAGCCTCAGGGTCATTTCGCAGCCCCAGAAGCTCCAACGAAAGGCCTGGCCTTGTTCATGCGCCATGTGTTCACCAAGGCGTGTGGGACTCTCCTTGTTAGGCCTGGAGCTGGGGCTGAGGTTGGCCCCATCTGAACCGGGGGAAGGGGAAGAAGCAGCGGGTAGCTCCCTAAAGAAAATGTGGTTGGAGAGGGCCGAGTTGACTCACACTCTGACTCCTTCCTGTATATCTTGTCACCTGGCAGCTGACGGAGGCAAATGCAGAGGTCACGGCTGGGCTTGTGGTGTACAGGGGCAGCACTGGAAGGCCTCTGGGACCTGGTATCAGACACCATGTGGCTAAGCTGCTGCTCTGTCCTGGAGTCCCCCCAGCATTCCTTTGACTTAATTTATTGCCTGGCATAGGCACATTCATTCATGTTTGTCAAGCGGCACCTGTGCGCTGTGCTGGCAAGAAGTCTGCTGAGGGAAGCCTGAAAGTCTGGTTGGAGACCCCTCTGACCCCCACCTGCTCCCTTGTAGTCCCTGGGTCCTGCGCACGTCAGCCACCCCAGTGTTCGCCTTGGCTGTGCCCAGTGAATTGGGCCCCAGTGTGGCGAGGCTTCGGGGAGCACAATGTGGGAAATGTCACCATCAGTGGGCTGCCTGCTTGTGGACGGTTGGCCCAGGGTCAAGACCAGAGTCTGTCCTGCTGCTGCAGGAATGGGATGGTATCTGTTTGGTCATTTTGGTGCTGTCCCTTTCTCTCCACCTCAGTCACTACCCACCTGGTCTCCCCACAGCCACCCTCACTGTCCCTTCCCCAAACTGCTCACTTTCAACCTAAACCAATACCAGGCATCCCCTTGCCTTTTACATTTCCCCAGCTCCTCAGCATGCCCACTGTCTGCCCCCACCCCACTTCACCCTATGAGCTGTGCCTTTGAGCTGCTGCTGCTTTCCCTTCCAGTTGTTCTTGAGACCCCAGCACAGCCCCCTCTTCTCGGGACCTCCCCTGGACTCCAGAGCAGACCAGGTCAATGGCAGGCGGAGCGCCTTCATCGTGCTCATGTACAGTGCATGCTTCCTGACTAATGTCTGGCTCCCCACAAGTGGGGGCCTGCAAAAGCAAGGCTCGGCCCACACCCTGCTCACTGCGGAGGCACCGGTGCACGGCCCACAGCAGGCACACACCAGATTCAGAGCTGCTCTTGTGTGGCCTCCACTCTGGGCCCGGAGTGGTGAAAGAGGCCCTGGGAGCACCCCCACGGTCCATCAAAGTGCATGCAGGCCCAAGGCCCTGAGGCAGTGTTTCTTCCTTCAACAGCTGCTCTTCAGGATGGACTCTCAGACCTGTAACAACTCCAGACATCTTCATCCCAACTGGCGATCACTTAGAGATCTTCTAGCAGGACTGTCTCTGCAAAGAGCATGAGCAGCGTGGCTCTTTTTGGTTGCCCTCTGGCCTGTAAATTTTAAAAAGTTACGTTAGTCTTTAACATTTGCAACTCAGGAGGTGCCACATAAAAAGCTGGTGTCTCTGTGCCACATTCCTGCAAGGCCACAGCTGATGGCGCCAAATAGCAGCTGCCATACTCTCCACTGCTCTCCCACTCCCATTTACACGCCCACTCTCCGTGAGTCTTGAAAGCTCCTTATTGATAATAAATGCATACAGCAGAGGGGACGTGTCACATCATTCAGGGTGCATTTCACACACCTAACACACCTGTGCATCCAGGCGTCCAACTCAAGACGCTGTCCTAAGTGATTTGATGTTCTCCGGAGTTGTTAGTTTTATCTGGATATATGTTTAACTTATTACAAACAAATGTAGCTTTGTTTACTGTATGCATATAGTGTTGGGGGGAAAAAAACTAATTTTTCTTTTTGCAGAAAAGCCTGCCATTGCTCCGCCCGTCTTTGTGTTTCAGAAGGATAAAGGACAAAAGGTAAGGGGCCGGTACGTTGTCTCTTCACTTCGTTACTCTAATTTGTTCTCTCTTCACTGAGAGTCTCTTTTCCAGGTTGTGTTGCCAAGGCCACTTCTGCCCACAGACGGGGAGACCTAAGCAGAGGTCTTTACACCTTCACGTTGAGCTTGGAGGGAAAGGTCTGGTGGCTTTAGGTTACCGTGGAGCGAGGTTAGGTCTATTGCGGAAAGGGCTCAGAGAGCGCAGTTTATTCCAACACTGTTAGAGAGTTTCTTTCAAATTCCTGACCATGTGTTTAAGAAATGCCACTGAACCTTAGGAAAACTAACAGCAGAGGGACAGTAGGGGGCAAAGGCAGGAAGGAAGGAAGGCAGGGAGGGAGGAAGGAAGGGCGGGGGAAAGGAAGGAGGAAGGGAGGGAAAGAAAGGAGGAGAGCAGGGGTGGTTATGGGGAAAGAAGACCTCTAAGGCTGGATTTATTGGCTCTAACCAACTTGCCATACATGCATTTAGGGTAATTGTTCATTTGTTTGCATCATATATTTATCCCCTGTCTCTGTGAGGTTGCTTCTTCCTTGGATGTGGGGTGTCTGGGTCACAGTGTGGTTGAAAGTACGTCGCCTGATACATGGTGATGAGCTGGCAGCCTGTGGAAGGTCTGATTGGCGAGGCAGCCGGGTTCTATGATAAGACATCAGTGGATGCTGTTTACCTTGAAGCCATTGGCTTCTCTTCCTTTCTGACAGATCAGTGTGGAAAGGTCAGAGTTTCGTCGAAAGTTAGTTGGTGCTGTGTGGCAATGACTCCCCAGTTTGCATGGGGACCCCCCACTGTTTATCCAGAAATAATATATGGTCCCTCCCCACTGATGCCCAGTGACGGCACTCCCCACCTAATATTCACCCCAACATTTTAGAGTGACCAAGCGTTGCGCTGAATTTGGTGCATTTTGAGGATGTCTCCATCTTGTTGGCAATAACAGCATTTGAGAATCTCATCAACTCCGTGCTCCTGTGACTTTGGTCCCCTCACAGGTGACTGGCTCCCAGGCTGGAAGCCGCTCTTCTGGTGATCTGGGACCCATAGCTACTGGTCTTAGATCCTGTCCCGAAGCCAGAGTTGATCTTGGTGTGGCCCAGTTTTCCTAAGCAATGTTCAAGTGTTCTGTTGGGGGTGGCTGTGTTTGTTTGTGGGGTTGGGGAGAAGAGGAAAACTATTGTCCTAAACCTCCCCCAACACACCCCTCCCCGGATACCTGTGTGTCAGCCTGGGCTTATCTACTAAGCTTGTAACTTTAATTCGTGAAACTTTTACATTGTTAATTTTTTTGCTGAAGAAGAATCCAGAAATGTATGAGAACTTTCTTCCAGTTTTGTTTTGGTTTTCCGGGTGGTATTTCCAAGATAAATCTGAATCTGCTATCTCCTCTCCTTTGGGCCCTGACCAGTACAGCTTAATGACATGGCTTTACGATTTGTCCTTTGGAGGTTCCATCAGTTCGAAAGGACTGGTGCGTTTCCTCTAATTTTAGAGAAAAGCCTGAGGAGTTGGGTGTGTTATAAGTAGAATTTTGAGTGTCACAAAAGAAGTAGCACTCGAATATAAATTTCCTCATCAAGGCAATTTACTTCTATAGAAGAGTGCAGCTCACAGATGGAACAATGGCGAGCACACACCCGGACAAGGAGGGGAAGGGGTACTTATGCCTGATGGAGGTTGCCTCCACTGCTGTGTCGTTCCCCTGTTGGCTAGGGTTAGACCACGCAGTCTAGTCTAATTCCAGTTGGCTATTTTAAAGGGAGCAGGGGTCCGAGCCGGAGTTGCGGGGTGGGTAGTTTGGTGGGAAGGACAGTTACAGACAGGTCAGAGCGGGTAAGCAGGGGTCAAAGCAGTTGACTGGAGCAGGTGACCGGGATGAGTCAGGACCGAGCAAGGGACCGGGGAAACAGATGTGAACTACTGATTGGAACTAGTGGAAAGGTTGTTTACTGAAACTACAAGGAAGTTACTTTATATAATGAAAGAATAAGAAAGCTGAACATGCTGACATACTGATTCTTTGAGGTTCACTATATCTAGCAGGTGTGTTAGAGCTCTGTTGGTCATGTTACAGTCGTTTCTCAGGTGTTCAGTAAAATCAGGATTTTCTAGAATTTTCCATTTTATTATGATCGTCTTTTGAACCGTTTTTATTTTAAAACAGATTAGCAAATTAAGGCACAGCACTGCCACCTGTTTTTCGTTTTGTTTTTTTTTTTTGCTGTTATTGTCTTATTTTACTTGTTTATGTGTTTATTTATCTTTGAGAGACAGAGCCTCACTCTTTGGCCCAGGCTGGAGTACGGGAGCATGATCATAGTTCACTGCGGTCTTGAACTCCTGGGTTCAAGCGGTCTCCTGCCTCAGCCTTATGAGTACCTGGGACTGTAGGCACCACCACCACACCTGGCTAATTTAAAATATTTTTTTGGAGATAGGGTCTCACTGTGTTGCCCAGGCTGGTCTCGAACTTCTGGCTTCAGTCAGTTCTCCTGCCTCAGCCTCCCAAAGTGCTAGGGTTATGGGCATGAGCCACCAAGAATAGAGCGACAGCCCTCCCCTTTGCAGTAGCCCATGGCTGCTACAGCAGTAGTGTTTGGACAGAGACTGTGTGGCCTGCAGAGTCTTAAGATAATTTGGCCGGGCTCGGTGGCTCACGCCTGTAATCCCAGCACTTTGGGAGGCTAAGGTGGGTGGATCACCTGAGGTCAGGAGTTCGAGACAGCCTGACCAACGTGGAGAAACTCTGTCTCTACTAAAAAATACAAAATTAGCTGGGCGTGGTGGTGTATGCCTATAATCCCAGCTATTTGTGGGGCTGAGGCAGGAGAATCGCTTGAACCTGGGAGGCGGAGGTTGCAGTGAACTGAGCTGTGCCACTGCACTCCAGCCTGGGCAACGAGAGCAAAACTCCATTTCAAAAAAAAAAAAAAAAAAAAGTTATTCAGTATCTGATTCTTTGCAGAAAACAGTTTGCCACCCCTGGTTTAAAACAAATAATAGTAATCAATAATTCTTTAAATCTGAAGACTCAGGGCAACCAGCAAGATGAATAGTAACATGTAATATTTGCTCAGATACATATAAGTGCTTTGAAAGTCACTAGCTGCTGTGTCGGTACTGTTTTCACATGTAAGGGGGTTCTATTGCTTTGTGATTTGCAGGCTAATTTGTATGTATGGCCTTCAAGGGGTCTATGCAAATTACATAAACAAGTTGGAGTTGAACCAGAAGGCCAGCTAGGAAGGCATTTTTAAAACGTCAAGTATAGTTCTTAACAAAATAAAATAGCGGCCCTCCAGCCTTGGGAGTTCAGCTGTCCACTTCTGTCACTCGCACTCCTGTGGCACCATCACCGAAGAGGCATATGGGAAACCTCTGCTGAGGACAGGCGGGAGGAGCCTTCATGGGCATTTGCTTTGCTGTCGGAAGACAGCGTCCACATGGCCCTGGAATCCTTTCTGCCACTCAGGAGTGAGGTGGAAAGTAAACATACAGGGCAGGCGGCTGGCTTTGCTCCTCCGTGGCTTTCTGGTCCAGGGCCTGCAGGGAGCAGCCGCAGTGTTTGTCATAAATTAGGGTTTCAGGGTCCTCCTGGTTTCATTCTCTCTTGTGGAGATGATCGGCCTATCCCTGTCTTGTTGCTGTCTAGAAGCCAAGCTGGGAGTGAGCTGTTAGAACTGCTGTGATGTTTTTCTGAGGCAGTGTCCCGTCCCCTCCCTCCCCCGGGCTTTGTGCTTCAACATTTTGTTTTGAAAAATTTCAAATCCTTGGAACAGTATGATACCACAAACACATGGGTATCCTGCATTTGGCATCGCTGTTAACATTGCTGCCTGCAGCTCTGATACTGGAAATTGTGCACACGTGACATTCCTCCCCTGAATTATTCCTCGGGTGTCTCATAGGGATAAGGCCATTCTCCTGTGTGGCCTTACTACCATGTTACTTCTAAAAAAATGTTAATTCAGTAATATCCTCCAATATATAGT